AATTTCATCTGACAATTTTACGTAATGGAATAAACATTGAGTAATGTAAAGCATTATAGCATTATAATATCGCAGTCTAATTTAAAGGTACCCTAATTTAGTATAAAGTAGACTGAACCTAACCTCATGAAACGTAATTAAAATCGAACTTAATCAAATTCTAGGAAACGTACCAGAAATGATACCTAACCTAACCTAATGTAATATAACCAAAACATAACCTAACTTAGTCAGACATAACCAAAACATGACCTAACCTAATCAGACATATCCAAAATCCAACCTAACCTAGTCAAACCTATTCTTCCATAACCTAAATTTAATATAAATTAATCTAACTTAACACAAATTTAATTTAATCTAATTTGACACAAACCAAACCTTACTTAACCTAAGGAAACATAACCAAAACACAACCTAACCTAATTAGACATATCCAAAGTCCAACCTAACCTAGTCAAATCTGTTCTATCATAACCTAAATTTAATATAAACTAATCTAACCTAACACAAATTTAATTTAATCTAATTTGACACAAACCTAACCTAACTTAACCTAATGAAACACAACCAAAACACAACCTAACCCAATTAGACATATCCAAAGTCTAACCTAACCTAGTCAAACCTATTCTATCATAACCTAAATTTAATATAAACTAATCTAACCTAACACAAATACAATTTAATCTAATTTGACACAAACCAAACCTTACTTAACCTAATGGAACATAACCAAAACATAACCTAACCTAATTAGACATATCCAAAGTCCAACCTAACCTAGTCAAATCTGTTCTATCATAACCTAAATTTAATATAAACTAATCTAACCTAACACAAATTTAATTTAATCTAATTTGACACAAACCTAACCTAACTTAACCTAATGAAACACAACCAAAACACAACCTAACCCAATTAGACATATCCAAAGTCTAACCTAACCTAGTCAAACCTATTCTACCATAACCTAAATTTAATATAAACTAATCTAACACAAATAGTAATCTAACATAATTGTAATAGTAACCTAGCATATAATTTACCCTAAAAGCGAGTATCCATAAATCAAGCCTGACCCACGCTAATCTAAAATCTGACCTAGCCTAACACGTACCTGTTACACCCATTACGTATCAAAGAGTTGATTAAGTAAATTTCCCTTGTTTATCCCATGGACTGTCAGCAAATTTTAAGGTCCACAAGCATTAATTACGAAACGTATTTAGCAGGATATCCCAAACGGGTTATCGTTTACCACGAAAGTCGGCGCCGTCGCGACGTACCCCGATGATATCACGAAAGCACTTTGCACGCACCTTTCTCCTTGTTTGAGATATCTATGAGACATTGATAGTGTCATGACTCGTTTCGTATGCAGGCTTTTCGTGCTTCCGATTCTATACTTCATCTACACATCTATTTGCTCGCGTTCGCGCACCACTTCCTATCACTTTTCTCGCACGAGTTGCCTGTCCGACCTTCCTGATCGATTGTTCGCTTCAGATTTCGTCAATCGGTTCGGAAAAAGCGACAGGACTATCTCGAATCACTGCACCGGCAAAACGACACAATTTTTCGAACCAAAACTTGCTTATCTACCGTGGAGAGCGGGATATATAGGTCCTGCGGGATTTTTTTGGACAATTTTTAGCTTTCGTGTATGGTTCCTCTAATCTTCACATCTTTACATTTGCTAGTATATCTGGTTGCTATGGCCATTTCTATGTTCTTCAAATTTTTGTACTTTCACATGTCCCATATGTCCACATACTGTCAAATTTCTACACTTCCACATGTCCACATACTCCCAAACTACACCTACCTATTTCTGTATTTCAAATCTCTTAATTAGCAAAACTCTATATTTGCAAATTTTTACAGTGTACAAATGCTAGGTGCTCCAAATTCGATATTCCCCAAATCTATAAATTTGCAAACTCCTACGGTCCATATATGCTACATGCTCCAATTTCAGTATTTCCCAAATCTCCTCAGTTCCAAATCACATTTTCAAATTCCTACCGTCCCCAAATGCAACATGTTCCAATTTCCATACTCCCCAATTGCTATATCCCCAAATTCCCATACTCCCCAATTGCTATATCCCCAAATTCTCATACTCCCCAATTGCTATATCCCCAAATTTCCATACTCCCCAAATTCCTATAACCTCCAAATCTCCACATTTCCAGATATCCACCTTCCCCAACTCACACATTCAAATTACCTCTTCATCCCCAAATTCCTATAGCTCTAAACTACCAAATCCCCAAATCCCCAAACTCCCCAAACTCCCCAACTTCCTTACTCCCCAAATCCCCAAACTCCCCAACTTCCCTACTCCCCAAATCCCCAAACTCCCCAAATCCACAAACTCCCCAACTTCCCTACTCCCCAAATCCCCAGCACCCCAATTTGTTTTGAAACATCTCCCCTTCAGTAAATCGTGAGGCACGAAAAGATTATTGCAACGATTTCCCGGGTCGCTTTCGTTGTCCAGCAGGGATCACAAAGGTACGGAAAGTCATTCTAAATCGTGACGATGGCGCGTCCCAGAGTGACATAAGACGTCTGTTCGTCTTTCGGTCTCGAGTACGATCGTATCTCGAGAAGAGTGCCATTATACGACGACAATGCAGTAATCAAGCTCGGTCTCTTTGCCTTGCAAAAAAGGATTGCTTCCTTGACTCCGACGACGGTAGTCGCCGTCTTCGTAGCGTCGGTCTAACCTCCTTTCGAATTTCTTTGATGCTTCGACGCCCTGTTGAACCTCGAAGAGTACACTTCTGCGAGCGCGTTAATTGCATGGATACGAAGTACAGTTGTGACGTTTCTCGTCTCAACTTGATTATAATTGACCGGACCTGAGAACTACTCATGTTCCATTTCTTAGTGCAGTTAATTTTTTTTTTTTATAAATATTACTACAAGTAATATGGACAATTATGCTGCAATCGTAGCTGGAAGGCTTACTTTCTAAAAGTGTTACTTGGGTAATTTTAAAGGTGAACGCTTCATGAAGATAACTGTATGTATTTAGTAATGTTCTCAATACAAAGTGGCTGGTTGATAATTATGACAAGCAATAAGTGATTGAAAAATGTATAAAATCTGAGGTGACTTGATGACATAAAAGAGTTGCAAAGAAACTTTTATAATATATGAAGTTAAAGCTTAAAGTCAGAGAAAAGTAGCTACATAACCTCTTCAATGAGCTTCTCAATACAAAATGGCGAACAGCCAAACAGCTGATTTCAAATTCTACAAACTTTGAAATTTTTATTCACAAAGTGAATTTTTATTCACTTCAATTTCAAAGCACTGAAATATATGAAGTTTGAAATTAATTATACTTAATAAAATAGAAAAAATTAATTTTAAAAAAATTGTAACTAATAATCATCAATCATCTTTAATGTATTTACAGTATATAACATGTAACTTATTCTTAATAACAATTTATGCTTCTCAATTTATGCTTGTAACTTATTCCTTCAGTTTACAATTTGTTCTTGCGATTTATAAAATTTGTTTGTCTTCGAAGCAGATTAACGACAGAAACGCACATAAAGCACGATACAAAGTTTCCTCGGCACCAGCTGCTAATTAATAGATTGTTACGAATGAACTTTCAAGGTAATTAACTGATGGCGCCGGTGCAAATATTAACAAATGGAATCGCAAAATGTAAATTCACGCGGCACCTGCGACACGATCGCAAAAGCGGAGTAAAACGCTTCGTCATACGAGGGGTGAGATAGGGTGGATGATATATTTGCACAGATCGCAGGGGTGAATTACGGCTCGGTTGCGGGATAGGTGGCCGCCGTTGGACTCGAGAGCAATTTATCGATGAAAATTCAATACCTGATTGCGACCACTTGCTTTGGCTATTCATAAAATCGAAATCAAAATTCGAATATAAAGCGGAGTATTGGACGAACGCTGACTTTCCAATCTTCTTGGCGAATGAAATATGTACGCGGGTTTGGTATTCAAGCTTCTATATTATTTATTTGGAGTGCTTCGAGAAAATGTACTCTTAACGATATTTGCTATAAGATATAGTAATGCTTACTCTCTCGTTAAATGGAACTTAAATTGAATTTGTGGTTTCAAAATTAGTTTCAATAAAAATAGTAATATAATAAATAAAATAGGGTAATGTTTTAGTAACATACAAATGTATATTAAGAGGAACACTTATTAGTCAAATATTTTGTACTACTGTAATGAAATACACGATCAATGTTATTATCTTATCTCAGTTGTTCAAATGCATTAAACTTATGATGGTCGAATACACTTATGTCGATCATTATCAACCACTATAACTAATGATTATTACTGATCAGTTCATCAACATCTTCAATGAACAGCTTTGTGTACAACACATGAACGTATCTGAAGTCTTCTTCTTCAAACAGAAATACTCAAAATTAATTACAGAAAAATACACTTAATCAAAGAACTAAGTTTAACCCAGTAAGTTTAACCAAATATTTAAAACACAAGTCTATAATTATTTAGATAGAATAAAATTTGAAAAGGCGCCTGAATGAGTTAATACAAGATGGCGTCCGTTGTGGGTCCATGTAATATGTACGCTACTGATGGCTCTAATTCGTTTGAATCCTATTACTGTATTAATCAAGACACAATCTCTATTCACCTAAAAATTTCATTACTATTAAAATCTTGTGTACTTCATTAAATTTACCTAACATTACAAAAATAAATACTAAAAAATTATTTAACAACAACCGCTAAAAATAAAATGTTCAATCATAAAGCAAATAATCAAGGTTACGAACTTAGTTACAAACAATTTCATCAAGTTTTGAACATCAGAACTTTTTTGTACTAAAAATATCAAAGTATTAAACGCTAGTATAGAACAGTATAATGAATATTATACTGTTGAATTGTTGAATAACGATGCAACTGCTTTGCCAAATGCGTATATTAATTTTATTAATCATTTTGTGTTGCAGACATAAGTGATAGGGGGACGAAGAAATTTGGCGACGACTGCGTGGAGCATCGTGAATGCGGCTTCGACGGTTCATATTGCGAGCCAAAAAAGAATAAATGCGCGTGCAAGGAGGAATTCGAGGCAACGAATCATATCGACAAATGTGGACACCGTAAGTTAGTATATTTTCAAGTGCGCCGACGGGGAGCCACGGTACCATTGGCGTAACTTGGTGAGCCCTTAGATAAACTTGATAATCATGAAAGTTACGCTACGGAAATAATCACTAGGACAGGAGAAATGAGAAGGAAATGGGAATTTCAATGGTAGAAATTGGATAATTTGTAAAATTGAATATGTAGGTACTTTTGAAATGTAGAAAATTAAGAATATAAGAAGATGAGAATTGAGGAGTTGGGGAAATTGGAATCTGGGGAATTGGGAATTTTGAAATGAGGTAAATTTGGAATTAAAGAATTAGATATTTGGGGAATTTCGAATTGGGAAAATTTAGAATTTGGGAAATTCAATGAGATCTGAGCAAATTTGAGATCTGAGGAATTTGCAATCTAGGAATTTGGGGGATTTGGAAATTGGGGGATTTGGAATTTAGGGAATTTGGAATTTGGGGAATTTGGAATTTGGGGAATTTGGAATTTGGGGAATTTGGAATTTGGGGAATTTGGAATTTGGGGAATTTGGAATTTGGGGAATTTGGAATTTGGGGAATTTGGAATTTGGGGAATTTGGAATTTGGGGAATTTGGAATTTGGGGAATTTGGAATTTGGGGAATTTGGAATTTGGGGAATTTGGAATTTGGGGAATTTGGAATTTGGGGAATTTGGAATTTGGGGAATTTGGAATTTGGGGAATTTGGAATTTGGGGAATTTGGAATTTGGGGAATTTGGAATTTGGGGAATTTGGAATTTGGGGAATTTGGAATTTGGGGAATTTGGAATTTGGGGAATTTGGAATTTGGGGAATTTGGAATTTGGGGAATTTGGAATTTGGGGAATTTGGAATTTGGGGAATTTGGAATTTGGGGAATTTGGAATTTGGGGAATTTGGAATTTGGGGAATTTGGAATTTGGGGAATTTGGAATTTGGGGAATTTGGAATTTGGGGAATTTGGAATTTGGGGAATTTGGAATTTGGGGAATTTGGAATTTGGGGAATTTGGAATTTGGGGAATTTGGAATTTGGGGAATTTGGAATTTGGGGAATTTGGAATTTGGGGAATTTGGAATTTGGGGAATTTGGAATTTGGGGAATTTGGAATTTGGGGAATTTGGAATTTGGGGAATTTGGAATTTGGGGAATTTGGAATTTGGGGAATTTGGAATTTGGGGAATTTGGAATTTGGGGAATTTGGAATTTGGGGAATTTGGAATTTGGGGAATTTGGAATTTGGGGAATTTGGAATTTGGGGAATTTGGAATTTGGGGAATTTGGAATTTGGGGAATTTGGAATTTGGGGAATTTGGAATTTGGGGAATTTGGAATTTGGGGAATTTGGAATTTGGGGAATTTGGAATTTGGGGAATTTGGAATTTGGGGAATTTGGAATTTGGGGAATTTGGAATTTGGGGAATTTGGAATTTGGGGAATTTGGAATTTGGGGAATTTGGAATTTGGGGAATTTGGAATTTGGGGAATTTGGAATTTGGGGAATTTGGAATTTGGGGAATTTGGAATTTGGGGAATTTGGAATTTGGGGAATTTGGAATTTGGGGAATTTGGAATTTGGGGAATTTGGAATTTGGGGAATTTGGAATTTGGGGAATTTGGAATTTGGGGAATTTGGAATTTGGGGAATTTGGAATTTGGGGAATTTGGAATTTGGGGAATTTGGAATTTGGGGAATTTGGAATTTGGGGAATTTGGAATTTGGGGAATTTGGAATTTGGGGAATTTGGAATTTGGGGAATTTGGAATTTGGGGAATTTGGAATTTGGGGAATTTGGAATTTGGGGAATTTGGAATTTGGGGAATTTGGAATTTGGGGAATTTGGGGAATTTGGAATTTGGAATTTGGGAAATTTGGGATCTAGGGAATTTGAGGAATTTGGAATTTGGGGAAATTTGGATCTGGGGAACTTGGAATTTGAGGAATTTGGAATTTAGGGAATTTGGAATTTGGGGAAATTGGGATCTAGGGAATTTGGAATTTGTAGAATTTGAGGATTTGGGGAATTGGAAGTTTGTGAAATTTGGGCTCTGGGGAATTTGAAATCTAGGGAATTAGGAATCTAAAGAATTGGCAATCTGGGGAATTTGCAATTTGGAATATTTGGAATTTATGTATTTGATAATGAAAATTTAAGTAACTAAAGATTTGAAAAATTGAAAACTAGGAGTATTAAGAATTTAAAAATCTGCTAATCTGCAACTTCAAAAATCCCTAAATGTGTATCGTTTTTCTCTCCAAGAAGAATGCTACCATTCTCCCTACAGTATCCAAGCGTATAAGAATAATTGCTCAGCGCAGATCGAAATCCTAGTTACGCCAATGCGCTGTCCGTAGGTGTTCCATGCTCGTCGAACAACGTCGTAACGACGTCGAACAAAAAAAGCAAAGCTGCGAAAAACGACGATGATAAAGATGACGAAGGTAAAACCGAGAAATGGAACGGAAGTTGTTTCGCATTCTTCGGGTTATTTCAGTCGAGTCACGTTCTAGTATCGGGACTTTTCCTATGGGGAGACCGAGTTTTACGAGCGGAATGATATGAACGTCAAGGGGTGGTTGCTTATGGCTTTCTCACGTGGAATTCGAACGAGACATAGCTGTCTTTATTGACCCAGAACATTAGAGGATCCGTGAAAAATGAAATGCAGCTGCGAATTCACTGACACAGATAATCACTTAATTGGAACTCTCTTAATTGAGTTCTCTCGTGTGTTATATTATTTCCATTTATTTCATATGATTTTCCATAATTTCCTTTCAAAATTTAATTAATCTTGTTTGGTTCAAAATCTGAAAAAAATAACAAAATTGACAATCAAGCAAAGTATGAAATTACAAAATCATTAATCAAACTAAATTACAAAATTGCAAAATTCATCGATCAAAAAAAATTATCAATTAAATAAAATGAAATTGTAAAATAATCAGACAAAAAAAATTGTTGAATAAATTTAAGAAGCAAATGAAAGTTCCAAAGAATAAAATGAAGGATTTAATGAAGATTTGCGGTAACAAAGAGATTAGGTGGCTTGAAATTTGCGTTACCGAGAAGCACCGCAATTTTTTCTAATGACAGGTGTTATTTGTCAGGAAGACGTAAAAGGAGAACAAGATTAGAATGCTTCTGGTCAAGGATTAAAGCTGTATCAGTGTTAAACTACTCTCCTAATTGCAAGCCTGTGGTTGATATATCGAGATCAGTGTGGCAAGTAACTAGTCGATCAGATTCGCCACACTGACCCCTAAACATACTCCATTATCCACAGGCTTGTGACCGCTACCCTCTGTCCTCCTGCAAATTTTTCACCATCTGAATCCAGATAATCTTGCATATGAATTTATGCGAGATTTAAAGTACACTTGTACTTATTAAAATGAGATACGCTTCATTCTAATGTGCATCGTTTATAAAAGTCATGAATAATACATTAATTACTTGGTAAGCGAAAGATTTATATGATGAACTTAGTAATTTTAGAGGGATTGTGAAGAATAAGCAATTTAAATTTTTGTGCTTACGGATTTATAGAAGTTTGGAAAATTAGATTGTCGGGAAATTAACTAGTTGGAAAATTAACAAGTTGGGAAACTACCAAGTTGGGGAATTAACTAGTTGGGAAATTAACAAGATGGAAACTTAGCTAGTGGAGAAATTATCAAGTTGGGAAATTACTAGTTGGGAAATTATCGAGTTGGGAAATTATGTAGTTAGGAAATTAACAAGTTGGGAAATTAGCAAGTTGAAGTATTAGAAAATTGGAAATTTGGAAATATAGAAATGTGAAAATATAGAAAATTGAAATACTAGAAACCTTGAAAACCAAAAAAATTAGAACTATGGTAGATCAGAAACTCGAAGATCAAGTATTCGAAGCGGAACCAATATTGTCAAACGCTCAACATATCTCAAACCGAGCACTGAAACCGAACACCTCGAATTTTAGTTGAAACCTTGACGTGAAACTTGGTCTGATTGTGTCGGACAATTGCAGTTACAATAGGACATCGGAATATTGCACGATAATTGATTGACGTATCGACAATATCTCGAGACAATGGTCGTCTTTTGTTGGTTCACGATATTGGCAACACTCGAGAGTGACGTATATTATCACTGAAAAGTGTAACATCGATCTGGAAATCGAAGTCGACGCTGAAGATATTCAGGGAAGAAGTCGTTCCTTTTTAATTTACATTTTTATACCATTCGATGTACAGATGTCGTAGGAATCTAGGATGAAATACATTTGCTTGAAGTTTCAAAGAGAGTAGATTGAAGCATAAATGTCGAATACAAATGATGCTGCGTTTGCATTTTAAAAAACAGATTTAAACCACTGGGTCAACGATTACGATATTTTGCATTTAGATATGGAAACATGAATAATCTAATTGTAGCATTCGATCAAAATTATTTATTTATACATTTATTACAAATAAATCAAATGTATTGACAAGTCATTGTTCCTATATAATTTATAATAAATTATTCATATATGTCAGCTAATATAACTGCCAATTATACCACTGCAATTTGCAACTGATAATTAACAAGAAATTAACCCCCAGGCTAATGTCGATGACGCACGTTAAAGTTCAAATGTGACAAAGCTAAATTATGTTTGCATAAAGTTTAGAATTCAATAATAATAATTTGTATAATTGACGATTAAATGCAAAATATACCTAACATTTCAGCGCGTGGTAATTCAGTGCATGGTAATTCTACGCGTAGTAATTCCACGCATGGTAATTCTATGCGTAGTAATTCCATGCGTGGTAATTCTACGCGTAGTAATTCCACGCGTGGTAATTCTACGCATTGTAATTCCACGCGTGGTAATTCTACGCATTGTAATTCCACGCGTGGTAATTCTACGCATTGTAATTCCACGCGTGGTAATTCTACGCATTGTAATTCCACGCGTGGTAATTCTACGCATTGTAATTCCACGCGTGGTAATTCTACGCATTGTAATTCCACGCGTGGTAATTCTACGCATTGTAATTCCACGCGTGGTAATTCTACGCATTGTAATTCCACGCGTGGTAATTCTACGCGTAATCACGCGTGGTAATTCAGTGCGTGGTAATTCTACGCGTAGTAATTCCAAGCGTGGTAATTCAGTGCGTGGCAACTCCACGCATGGTAGTTCAGTGAGTGGTAATTCTACGCGTGGTAATTCGACGCGTGGTAATTCGACGCGTGGTAATTCGACGCGTGGTAATTCGACGCGTGGTAATTCGACGCGTGGTAATTCGACGCGTGGTAATTCGACGCGTGGTAATTCGACGCGTGGTAATTCGACGCGTGGTAATTCGACGCGTGGTAATTCGACGCGTGGTAATTCGACGCGTGGTAATTCGACGCGTGGTAATTCGACGCGTGGTAATTCGACGCGTGGTAATTCGACGCGTGGTAATTCGACGCGTGGTAATTCGACGCGTGGTAATTCGACGCGTGGTAATTCGACGCGTGGTAATTCGACGCGTGGTAATTCGACGCGTGGTAATTCGACGCGTGGTAATTCGACGCGTGGTAATTCGACGCGTGGTAATTCGACGCGTGGTAATTCGACGCGTGGTAATTCGACGCGTGGTAATTCGACGCGTGGTAATTCGACGCGTGGTAATTCGACGCGTGGTAATTCGACGCGTGGTAATTCGACGCGTTGTAATTCGATACGTGATAATTCGACGCGTGGTAATTCGATACGTGGTAATTCGACGCCTCGTAATTCGATACGTGGTAATTCGTCACATTGTAATTCGATACATGGTAATTCGATACGTCATATTTCGTCGCGTTGTAATTCATTCCTTATCTTAAGTCTTCAGTAATAATTGACGCAACTGTCGAAACATATAGATTAAGGAGTTAATGAAAATTTGAGAACAGAAGATACCCTCTTTGTCCACCAGTAGAAACGGTATTATTTTAAATATTGCTAAAAAAGAAGAGAACAGTTGTTTAACAATTTTTTGAATTTGCAGCGGCGAACGTGAACGAGTCGTGCTTCTTTCACGCTCAATGCGAGGCGAGGGTGAGCCAAACGGAATGCAGGGACGGCCGTTGTATCTGCATCTTCGAGAAGATCCCGGTTACGCAACCTGACGGTTTAATAGTGTGCGTCGGTAAGAGAAAAACAGACGAAACATTGAATAAGTTCCGCGGGATTTTTAATGAGATTCCAGGCCGCGTCTGCTGGCAACCGTTCCAAGTTAATGGAATTCCGGCCTACAATCTCGCGGACTTCATTAATTCGTCAGCTGTCTCGCGTGATCAATTAACGCGCGAGAACAAATTTTCAGCTAGCGAGCTTTTGCTTTTTTTATGGAGACGAAAATTAAAAGCACCGACGCTTTGACGCTGCTTTCGACGCTCTTAACAAGACGTTGCTCAGTGAATTATATATTGCCCATTGGCGTAGGGACATATTTTATGTATTTCGTACTTTCGACTGTTTTATATTTAGAATTTTCTGCCTCTCAATCTTTCAAATTTATAAACTGTATTTGTAAAGTGATCTCAAATTTTCTAAATTTTCTTCTCACATTTTTAATAGTACAAAGATTTCTAAATATACAAGTTCTCAATTCTCAGTTTCCAAAAGTTGATCGTATCTGGTCTGAAGCTAATAACCTTTGACCTCATTCACCCCAGACAAAAGAGCCAGTTACGCCAGTAGAAAGAAAATGTGAGATCAAGTTTCCTAGTACTATAGAATTTGAAACGTTGAATGTAGATATTCTGTCAAGTCAACTACTTACATTTTAATAAAAAATAAATTAAAAGAATACTTTGAAGTATCTTTGCAAAAAAATTACATTCAATGCAAGATGTTCTAAAAATAAGCTACATTACAATATTCAAGATAAATTAATATTAAGAACCGATATTAAATTTCCACACCAAAGTTTAAAATTTTTCCCAGTACAAAAGAAGATACTGTAAAGTTCCAGTATAAAAGATACTTTACAGTGTCGTCCGCAACAAAGAAAGTCTGACGTTGTTCATTAAACTGGTTGTTTCAGCCGAGCAGAAAGAAGAACCCAATCTTCAATACGTCGACCCGACGATGATCGGTGTTCTGGTTGGTATGGCCCTCATGTTCATCATCATCTGCGTCGTCCTTAGGCTTTTCAGCAAGTAAGCCACCTATTTGCATATCTTTCGCGGTGACACTCGACTTTACCAATTCTCATAAAGAAACTTCATGACCTACTTCTCCTGGCAATTGCGTCTCGGAATGGACCCCTGATATGCCTAATGTATATTTAATGTTTTCTAACTTCCATTTTGTTATTATTGGCTTTCAGAGTTCTTGTTACTTTTTAACTCGTAAATGACATTGTATATCGAATCCCGTTGTTAATTTTGGGAGAACATTTTTAGGAGAACAGTCTAATACTTTAATGCAATTTTATATTGTATAGATCATATATGTTATATGATATCTTAGACACAGTTACTTACATTAATGTACAAAGTACCTTCAAATTTTAGTAGAATGATTTAGAGTGGAAAGCTTGAATACACATCTTGATATACGATTATACTTTATACGGGGTGTCTCACAACTAGTGTATGGAAATAATTCCACGCGTGGTAATTCAGCGACTGGTAAATCCACACGTGATAATTCTACGCGTAGTAATTCCACACGTGGCAATTCTATACGTAGTAATTCCACGCGTGGTAATTCCACGCATGGTAATTCGGCGCGTGGTAGTTCCACGCATGGTCATTCAGCGCGTGGTAATTTCACACGTTGTAATTCCACGCATGGTAATTTAGCGCGTGGTAATTCCACGCATGGTCATTCAGCGCGTGGTAATTCCACGCATGGTAGTTTAGCGCGTGGTAATTCCACGCATGGTCATTCAGCGCGTGGTAATTCAACGCGAGGTATCTGGACGCGTGGTAATTCGACGCATGGTAATTCGACGCGTAGTAATTCGATACGTGGTAATTCGACGCGTGGTAACTCAACGCGTGGTAATTCGACGCGTCGTAATTCGATACGTGGTAATTCGATACGTAGTACTTCCACGCGTGGTAATTTGACGCGTGGTAATTCGAGGCGTGGTAATTCGACGCGTGGTAATTCGACGCGTGGTAATTCGACGCGTGGTAATTCGACGCGTGGTAATTCGACGCGTGGTAATTCGACGCGTGGTAATTCGACGCGTGGTAATTCGACGCGTGGTAATTCGAGGCGTGGTAATTCGACGCGTGGTAATTCGACGAGTGGTAATTCGACCCGTGGTAATTCGATGCGTGGTAATTCAATACGTGGTATGATTGGTCCATGTTTTTCCTTAATAATTCAAAAACGAAGCTTCAAACCCGATTTTTGTAAAGGAAAATCTTGTTCAGAATCACGTCAGCTGTCCCCCCTTTTTCAGGGACCTACACTAGTTACGAAACACCTTGTATATCGTGCTATAAGTATAAGTAAAAGACTACAGCTGAACAAAAAAGTAAAATACAAAAGTTTCACTTCAACAATTACACCCAAACCCCCAAGATCTACCTCCCAAACATAAATTCCATAAGAATACCTTATAGCAAGCTTGTGAATGATTATTATAGCTAAACTGAATTATCTTGTTTCAGGGCACGTTGGCGCGAGAATCGCACTATCTTCAATACCCCGAATGCCCGTTTGATGAACGTATCATTGCTAAGGGAAAATAAACTGTTGCACCCTCAGGAGAGACGTGGTTCAAGGGCAAGTGTACGGGTTCCTTCGAGGCAACCCTCGATGGCCTCCTTACGTGCCCATTCGCCAAACGCCTCGCAAGGTGCGAAACACTCTCAGCACTCACAGCACAGAGTGAGCCGTACGGGTTTTTATTCATTCACTTACTAAGCAAGCAACTTGTTATACAGTGTCCCGTTGAAACGAACCAAGCGACTCTTTTTTAACGCGCCGTTATATCGGGTGTTCGATGGAAATCGAGACACCTTGGAACACCGACTGAACACCCTCGTCGCCATTACGATTCTTACGTTTCGATTTTAGTGTCGTGTCATGTGAGTCGGGTTTACTTTTTTACTGGACAAGGGCACGTCTTTTATGGCTGCTTGGGGAGATATACAATTTGTGTTATTTTGTAGCTCATACTTAATTATTTATATTTTTATATATTTGATACGAATTCCCATTGTGATCAGATTGTGATCAGAAGATATTTTGTGGCAGTTGCAATTCACTTAACTTTCACTTGAACTTCGCTTTGAAATTTGAACATTTACGAAATTTTCCACATTCTTCCAAATTTTTAACATTTATGAAATTTTCCATATTTTTCCAAATTTTGAGTATTTATCAAAAATTCCCAAATCCCATCCTCAGATCTCTAAGTTCTAAATTTCTTTTCAATGTTCCAAAATTTAAAAATGTGAGTGGGCTACAAAAAGCACGGTAGTTTTATATTTCCCAGTGTAGCAGTAAAACACGTGCCCTCGTTAGAGTTGCAGGTTAAAGACTGGAACATTTCTCGTCGCAATAATTACAGCGAAGTTCCATCCAACATGGTTACGCCTTGAAGTTTATAGTTCCCATACGTTCGTACTTTCATACAGGTACCGTGAAGTGTTCAAGGTAATTGAGAGATACGTAGAACACGTTTTTAGCGATGATCTAGTTTACAAACAACTTTCCGCATAAAATATGCAACGACCACGTCGGGTATAGAAACCGCGCATTTTTTCGAAGATTTAGTTTGACGTTTCACGAGTTTTTTGTCGAAGAAACGGTTTTGTTTTTTGAGTACAATTCGAGTGCGAGAGAAGTATAAAATCATTTGCGGAGTTAATTAACTAGCGAGAATAGCTACCTTTCAGCATATCGATTTCCGTAGAACATCCCATATATGTGTACAATATAGATACGAGTATACGAAGTAGGTGACTACCTACTCTTGCCTATCTATCTTTACTCTAGAATCCTTTTCTATTAAACTCAGAATCTTTCTGACTTTCTCGCATGCACAATTGCCTGCCAAGAGGGTAGATATCTGTTGAGTAACATTCGAGGGTGCATCGTTTCCATGAAGCGCGTCGTGCCACGTCGCCAAAGACGATCACGTGAAATGTTGTTCTACGCATTGTCACGAGCTTACGGTTATTAATTAGAACACGACGTTACCATAGAGAGCTTTAGTAAGGATAATCACGGGACAATTGTTAAGTGAATTGCATCAAAACTCGTAAGTGCACAGTGAATACACGTGTGATAAGAGTGAACGTATAGCGGATAGTGTGAATCTTTTTGTCTACAACCCTTTGGCTAATTTTATTATCAACTTTATTTTCATTTATTGAAAAAATAAGGAAAAATTAATCGCACTGCGTGTTTTTATAAATTCATTTTTAAATTTCAAATCTTGAAAATTTAAAGAATTCGATTTTTAATTTTGAAGAATTCGAAATTACAAAGTTATCGAATTAAGAGTCAAAATTTCAAATTCTCAAATCACCAAAGATATCTGAATTCTAAAGTTCCCTAAATTCTAACCTATATCCCAAAATCCCTAGAGTCAAAACACCTCAGACAAAAATCCCTAAAAAATCCCTAAATCCCAACCTGTATTCCAAATTCCCTAGTGCCAAAATATCTCAGACAAAAAAATCCCCAGAAAATCCCTAGAAAACCCCTACGTATACAAAACCCAAATCCCAAAATTCTCAAAGTTCTAAAATTTTAAGACTTCAATCCTCAAAATCTTAAAATTCGAATGAAGTGCCCGTAAGTCCATGCAAAAACGGCAATATAAGGAGAGTCTTCTCTTACAAGTCTCTTACAACGAATAAATAATTCTTATAACGAATAAATGTACTTATATCATAAAATGAAAGTTTCCAAACGGCATTAAGTCGAAGGGTTAGACTGAAAGTGAGAAATATAACGTAAACATTGAAGCACCGTTTGAAAGTGTCGCCAGAACGATGCATCTTTTTAATCGCCATAATCATGTTTCCACATTTAATGGATTTGACTCTCTTTGCAGTCGACCATCTATAGCAGTAGTCTGTTTAATGATCCCGTCTGTGACCGTTGTTCTTGATTATCATGTACTGTGGACCTATGAGGTGCTCTATTGTAAAAAAAAACTTTTCAAATTGACGCGTCCTTCGAAGAGGGTAAGTTTCGCATTACATACGAGTTACGCTATCTTTATTTCTTTCTCCTTCATATACGTATATAAATATATATATATATATACCCGGTGTATCGTAGCCTTGTATGTGTATCTGTACATAAGCCCTATATATGGTACTTACCCTCTTTCGGATACGTCAGAACTTCGAGCATAGAAGTTGTATCATACTATTACAGTTCTAATAGAACCATAATTACAGATAGACCTGGAGTCTCTTCTGTTTAGCGTTCTCGAGGATCACGATTATAGTTGCTTGCTACAGTAAACGATCATTGCTTGCTTTTGATGATACCGAGTGTCCCGTATTGCTGTCTTTATAGCTTTAAAATAGTTGGTAGAAGATTTCATTAGATAAGGGATGTCGAATTAAGTGCTTGTATGTCGATTACGAAAGGTTTCAAGCTCTCGAGGTCTCAAAGTTTCAAGGTCTCGAGGTTTCAAGATTTCGAGGTCTCTTATAATCAAAAGATGACACATAATGTTTGAAGTTTCTTACAAATTATAGTAATTCGACGCGTTGTAATTCGATACATGGTAATTCGACGCGTGGTAATTCGACGCGTGGTAATTCCACGCGTGGTAATTCTACGCATAGTAATTCCACGCGTAGTAATTCTACGCGTAGTAATTCCGTGCGTGGTAATTCTACGCGTAGTAATTCCACGCGTGGTTATTCTACCCATAGTAATTCCACGCGTGGTAATCCAGTGCGTGGTAATTCTATGCGTAGTAATTCCACGCGTGGTAATT